TGGAGACTGAGGAAAGACAAGAAAGGAGGAGAGATTAATGGGGGGGGGGGGGGGGGGGGGAAAGTGTGGGTGCTATGTCCCTCTCTGTCTCTTGCTCTCTCACTCTGACATGTCAATTTGAAGGCGCTTTATTGGCATGAGTAATGATGGGAGGTGTTGCCAGGGTAATTACATAGCACATTAAAGGGTTTCATAAACATTACAGTTCCTCCTCTGCCCGGTGGCAAGGCTAAAGTGGCAGGGAGAGGGGGAAAAACTGAATGAGAGAAATGGACACAGTGAGAGGGAGCAGAAGCTGCACAAAGGAGAGTAGAGCATGGAAGAGTAAAGGGCACTTATTGGCGATGAGGGGGAGGAAGAGAGAAGGGAGGAGTGTGGAAGAGATGAACAGAAAGTATGACAGAAGTGAAGGTTACCATGATCATGGATTCAATCGCTTAGCGCCTGAACATGAAACAGGAAGAAAAACAGAAAAAAAGAAACATGCTGGAGCGGCGTCCAACACAAGCCACAGCTGCAATTCACATCACTATGCATCACTCACACGCACGTGCACACTGCAGTCATGAAACACCCATCTGCATAACTTTGTTGACGTAATCTTTGCATATGCACACAACCCTTAACACTATAGCCACAAACTCCACACACTCAGCTGTGCACAGTCTGTCACTGACGGGCATGACACTCCGACTCAACCAAACACACAGAACCACAAGGACCATAATTAAACAAACATCCACCCAGTCGCTGAGCGGTGCATATTTATGTACAACCTCATTGGTCAAAAGCAATTATCTTCTTCTCTTCATCTTGACAGAGCGCACTAAATAGCCCCTGCCAATCAGTTACAGACGGCATGGAGTGCCACTCCTGCAGTGAATCTCCATCACACAGGACTTTTTGTGTTTACCCTGTAGTGTTGCAGCATATTATCTTTAGTTTTAATGTTAAATCAATTGTTCAGTTAGTCCTTGTTGTTGAAGTTTATTTCAGTCCTTGAGTCACAGAGGTGAAGATGAGGCAGTCTTGCTGCTGGATCACATATGTTGTTGGAGTTGAAGTCAGTATGTTGCACTTGCTTAATCACAGATGTTTTGTATTTTGGGATATTTTGGCAAACCTCATTCACAACAATGGCAATAAACTCCTGAAGCCACTGAATAACTTTGAAACTGAAAATTGTGTCATGTATCTTGTAAAGATGGCAGGTGTAGCCCAAAGAACACAACTACCTGATTCACTCTGCAAAATCCGGCTTTGGCCTTACAATGACAAGCTAGATTACATAAATAATGACCCTGACACGTGTCCAAAGCAGCATCAAACCCTCCAACTTGAAAGTGTCAAAGTAAAGTTATTCCAGTGCTTCAGCTGGGCTATGTATAGAGACAACAGCTGCAATGGATTGTGCGAGGAGGAGAGTAAACGCTCATATTCATTGGATTAATCTTGCTAAGCAAGAGAAGGGAGCAGGCTGTGCACCACCAACATCGCCGCTAATAAAAACAATATTTTGCTTTTCTCTTCATCTCAGCCGCGGCTCGCCGCTAATTAATTCCTGCTCTTACTTAGTTGCAGCTGTCGATTCTCTCATCTCACAGACGCGGACAAGTGGCGAACAGGTTCTCATTTCAAAGACCAGCACACTGTATGCATTCCTTGACTTTGCATGGGCCCCTCTGTCATCAAAGGGCCTTTATTAAGTGTCTCATACATTTACACATTGGGGAACAGTTTAAACTTGGCCCTTGATTAACAGACTACAGAGATATATATCCCAGAAACCGATGTTAGCTTGACATCTCACCATCTGATGTGAAGTGTAAGGCCCATGTCTACAGGTATTAATCAAAGCCAAGACCTCTCTCTCCCTCCAGGGATCCCACATATAAGCAGGCTTGCTACTTCGGTCCCTCCTCCCATCCAAACATATACAGCCCATACCTTATAGACAAAGCAAATTGGACACAATCCACTGCACATCTGAAAACTCCAAATGTGTGTGTCAACAGAATGATGAATTGCATTTATACAGTTCAAAGTTTTCAGAGTGTTTAACATTTTAGAGTACACAGCGGGGGGGATGATATTGCCTGTCAACTTCTCTTTGACTGCATCGAAACCATGGAATATCTAAACTTGACTCCTCACCTACACCTCTACACACACACGCACACACAACTGTCATAATGAGTCAACAACTGGCGGCTCAGAATGCTCCGAGCTCTGCATTAGGTTCCACTCCAGTCACCCTTAACATAGAGTCCAGCACACCATGCCTCTCCTCCACGATGACCTTGGGGTCAGGCCAGAATGCGCTCATATAATGAGAGTGCGGTTTGGGGATTTGGTTGACTGTGATAGAGAAAGGGCAAGCACACGCAATGCACCCTGGGTCTTTGTCTGGGTGCTGACGGTATTGACGAGTGCTGATCGATGTTAATTGCTGGACAGAATGGCCATATTGACCAGGCTCCCTGGATGAAGAAGCCTGCAGGCCCCGTCAAAGACAGAGAGAGAGAGAGAGAGAGATACACAGAGTAAAAGCTGCTTGGCCCAGAACTAAAGCAGCTACAGGGCCCAACACACACACACACACACACACACACACACACACACACACACACACA